GAATTCACGGTGGTCGAAAAGATCAGCCTCTGTTAGTGATATTGACATCATCTAAATATGTCTTAATACTGCCTGTAGATAAGTTATCGCTTAATTTAATAGTATTAACCAATGGATTATAAGATGCCATTTAATCTTGTGTTCATCGTATGTTATTTCAGTCATAGTTTTCACTACATCCGTCAAATCGTAATCTTTGTTGTAAAAAAAATCCAAACTTTTATTGCATAACATTAGAACACTGGTTAATAAATCGTTTTGCTTACTTAGTATTTTACAACTTACAATCCATCTACTTATAAGTAGGTAAATTCTAATATTAATGACATGTTTTGATGCGTCTAAATTTCTAAAATTATTTCATCTTATCCAGTTAACGATATTTTGGGTCGCGGATACTCACAAACAGGAAAGAATAAGTACCTGATTCCCCAAGGTTTCAAATGATTTTCTTACTAATAGCTGTCCATCACAGGAAACGTTTGCGAATTAATTGTTTGATGAAGTTACTTCCTAAATGACATCAATCAATTGTAAAGGTACCGTTGTCATTCCTGATAACCTAATCAGAAACTAATTCAAATGAATCTGAGAGTTGCTGATTTTTTATAGGATAATATTAAGTTATTGTCGATAAAATCACTACGTTTATGGAGTATAACAACATCCGTTGATCAGTTTGTAAACATTTCTCGTGATGGACGTCACTCATTTGGGTAACCAGTATGGAGGCAATCTGGAAGTACACTAAGTATTACTAAGCCGAGACATGACATCAGTTCATGAAATCACTGACTGCCCATGTGAACCGTGCTGTTCTTTGAAGATTTCAAAGTCAAGATCTATGAGATTACTATGATAGTATTCATTTTATTGAGTATCATATATTTGATTAAAGCAACGAATGTCCGGTTTAAAATACGAAAATTTGCATCAAGTCCCTTTTCAGTGACAGTATTTTCAACACATATGTACATGATACATGAATTTCAATGTAATCCACTCTTCTTTCTCTGTAAAATCCATAAGAAGGTAAAAATGCTATCTATGGTAATAGTGTGGTGTGAGTTAGTTATATCGACACAAGTAGTATATAACGGTGGTCAGGCATATAATGTATTTTAGTCGAAGGTTGATGAGGAAAGAACGGGAACGGAACGCAATTGGTATGAAAACGTATGAACAATGAAATCTGAGGCAATTAATTGATGTTTGCAACAGAACAGTCAAGTTTGGGATGATGGATTGATATTTTGCAAATTAACGATTTACTATATGGCTCTCAGATTTTATTGAGATGCTCTGTAATTTTGTGCTCAAATACATTCGATTATCTCCACTCGTGTTCTTGTTCACTACATTAGTTCCACTTGAGTTATTCAGAATGTAGATTCGCGATAGACTTTAAAGGTTTTTCAAAGCTCATGACATCATTGTACCAATAACATATATGATAAGCTCGTTAGATAAAATCTAAATAATAGAAACTTTACTCCAATAACTGTACATTCGGAAAATGTATGGCTCAAAGGTTTCAGTAGATCACCAAGTTGTTGAAGACCTTTGGTTATAGAACCTGAAACCGGTAACACTGGCTCAGTTGAACTCAATATTTTTCTTCTTCCAGATCTCTGGAAACCAGAGTAAGAGAAAAGATTACTGAAGAGTAGTTTCGTCCTGGTTTGGCATGTATCACTAGAAATCAAGGCTACGATCTCTAGGTCTTGTGATGTTTGTATGTGTGCTATATTTAGACCATTTAGTTGGAAGATAGTAGTTTGAATTTTTATTTTCAACTAATTCATCACACAGAATGACGACAATTGTATTGAGTAACTGCTTTTTATTCCATAAAATAATAGTTGAACCAACTTCAATTTTCACAAAACTCTAAGCCAATCATTGATTAATGTATTGAATTTTCTATTATTTTAACAAATTACGTTAACGAATCTCCAACAATCATCTCAGCTGATAGATGGTAAAAATTAGCAAGAAACAAAAAAAGAAACATACAATACAACTGAATCAACTTGATCAGGGAATATACACAATTTCAACCACCACTTTCTACTTCTATCCATTTAAATAATTTTGAAAAAAATCACAATTGTCATAGTTAAACATGCATTATTTACACAAAAAGCAAACACGATGTATAGGAGTGACAACTATGAGTTTCAACTGGCATAAAAAGTTCTATGATGATTTAAAAAACACCATGGAAATAAAAGATAAATCATACCATTATTGATTGAAATGATAAAATCAAATAAAGTGTGCTTTTAAATACGATCGAGTTTTATCGATTTACAAGGCTTCAATTTATAGAGAATTAACACCGTTGGATGCCGGCTCAGTGGTCTAATGGTTAAGTGCTTGCGCGCGAAGCCAGTAGGTCCTGGGTTCGAATCCCGCGGGGTGCGGGATCGTGGGTGCGCACTGCTGACGAGTCCCGTACTAGGACGAAACGGCCGTCCAGTGCTTCCAGGTTTTCTATGGTGGTTTGGCTTCAACTAACTCATGATTTCAATCTGTGAAAATTTCTAAAATCTCCACAAACCCCTTCTGATTATAGAGAATACACAAATAAAACCAGGTTATATATATAGAAAAAGAGAGCTAGCAATTACGGAGGAAGTTCAATCGTAGAGCGTTGATATACAAATAGAAAAGGTGATCCGCGGCATGCATAGTTCGATAACAAACGTCATACGATTTAACTGGAGTTAGATATAGGGCCCCCAAAAGCTCTCGAGAATTCTCATAGAAAGTCCCCAACAGCTAAGAAAAAGCTGAAATTACTTCGTCCGCTTAGCATTCAATATAAATTTTATGAAGTTAAAAAACAATAAGTTATATGTCATATCTTTATCGGATGATTACCAATTTAGTTAACAGTTTTAGAACGTCTTCAAAAGCTCCAAGAGTATCAAGATCAAGCATAAACCAATGTATACCCTTGTACCTAAATTGGTTTTAGACGTAAAGCTTTCCTTTACGCTTTCTTGTATTTTCGATTTGCTATTCAAGTGTAGGAAATTTCTGGACAGCTAGGATACAGTTAGAAATTAGAGTTAAGCGTTCAAATACCAGACGTATAACACGTCACATTGAGTGATTGATTTTGAAAATGTTTATAATCACAACAAGTGAGTAAACACTTTTGAGAAGTCCCATAATATGCAGAATAACGTGTCCAGTACTTCCTGTTTTTCAGTGATATTCTGATTGTTATTATTTTATGGTGAATACCAGCTACAGATCAGGTTTAGCGTTAAAACTATAAATTATACGAATTCAAGGTAAGAAGACCTATAGAATAGTGAACTTATTCATCATCATTTATCTTTATTATCTTCAAACATACAATGTAGAATCACTGAATTAGGACATTCAAAGAATTTTAAAAAAAATAATAGTATTTTTGGGAATCAAAACTAGTTTTTGGAATGTTTTCATTCCTAAGAAGTTAGATCTCATGCACTCATATCTAAAATGTATGAATTGAAGTATTTTAAACTTGATCTGCAAATTTATTTTTAATTAGCTAAACTGCCTCACATAACAATCAAGATGATCTCTAGTGCTATTACAAGTATGTGGGCGGTTGACACTTCCAGATTACATACACTGTGGAAGAGTATTCCTTCTTGAAGCACATGAATTAGTAATAGCTATGATGACTTGATATCATGATCACAGAACTCAGGAGATAACTACTAGAGGTCGGTCGCAGTGGAATTTTCAGCGAGGTTTCTCAATTTGAAGGCCTTATCATCTTTAACAGAAAAAAACTTCCATCATTGTTTCTAAATTAAAATGGTGAAACGTCTTAGTAATTAAAGATGATTTGATTATTCTGGTTCTTTTCAAATTGAATTCTGTTAAGATAATGTATTGATGAAGATTCTTATACAGGGTGAACTATAGTAGTAAGGTTTATTTATTTTATTTTATTTGAACACATAAATATTGGTACAAGAGGGCACCAAATATATATACACCACACAAAACAACGAGAATTTGAAGAGGAGAAGGGAAAAAAAGGTGAGGAGCGTAAAAAAAGAACAATAACGAACAGATTAGTGTAAGGTAGCGTAATAATAATAATAATAATAATAATAATAATAATAATAATAATAATAATAATAATGGGGGAGACGGAAAGGTACAATCGGAAGAAATCTTTCAGTTAAGTAAGTTGCAACCAATTTTTTTGAAGAAAGTAAAAGAAGGTTACAGCAGGATCGCCGCTGGCTTCTATTCTGAGCCATATCTGATAACGTCTCTAACCACTGTGTTGCACCATCTCTCGGACCCCAACCAGGGAGTCGTGAAGGACCAACAAAAGCCAGTCCTTTGCAGCTTTCTTTCATACCCCGACATCATGTCATACGCTGACCACCTCTCCGCTTCTTCCAACCAGTCCCAGAGTCGTCAAATAATGCACGACGTGGAATTCTCTGGGATGACATTCGTAGAACATGTCCAAGCACCGAAGTCGGTGTTTCAAGATGGTGACACCGATTGCCTTATCATCTCTGTGCTCGAACACACGACGTCGAACCTCTGCATTACTAATGATGATATTTGCTGAAAACTCTATTCTCGATTCGGAGTAGCAAGGTAGTAAAAAAACTCTGTTTGATATAGGCTTCATGGTATTTGGCATTTGTCAATAAGGTGTACCTATAATCTTGAGAGGTCTGGTGTTCTATGATGATTGTGATCTCATGTCATCTAGCTTCATAGTCAAAGACGTTACCATTGAATTAAGTAGGATTTAATACAGATGACATTTGTCACTATTAAAAGTTTGAAATACATCACATTCAAAATTGAGATATTCACAATGAAATATTTATTTATAAGCTTGATATTTATTATTTAAGTAGAAATTTTTTTCATGAAAAATATACCAATCATAATGATCCGGATCATTGACTAGCTAATTAGAAACAATATCAATACTTAAATTTATTTTTTTGAATTCACAATTAATTAATATTGAAATCTATTAGGATAGATAATGATGATGATGATGATGATGATGATGATGATGATGATGATGATGATGATGATGATGATGATGATGATGATGATGATGATGATGATGATGATGATGATGATGATGATGATGATGATGATGATGATGATGATGATGATGATGATGATGATGATGATGATGATGATGATGATGATGATGATGATGATGATGATGATGATGATGATGATGATGATGATGATGATGATGATGATGATGATGATGATGATGATGATGATGATGATGATGATGATGATGATGATGATGATGATGATGATGATGATGATGATGATGATGATGATGATGATGATGATGATGATGATGATGATGATGATGATGATGATGATGATGATGATGATGATGATGATGATGATGATGATGATGATGATGATGATGATGATGATGATGATGATGATGATGATGATGATGATGATGATGATGATGATGATGATGATGATGATGATGATGATGATGATGATGATGATGATGATGATGATGATGATGATGATGATGATGATGATGATGATGATGATGATGATGATGATGATGATGATGATGATGATGATGATGATGATGATGATGATGATGATGATGATGATGATGATGATGATGATGATGATGATGATGATGATGATGATGATGATGATGATGATGATGATGATGATGATGATGATGATGATGATGATGATGATGATGATGATGATGATGATGATGATGATGATGATGATGATGATGATGATGATGATGATGATGATGATGATGATGATGATGATGATGATGATGATGATGATGATGATGATGATGATGATGATGATGATGATGATGATGATGATGATGATGATGATGATGATGATGATGATGATGATGATGATGATGATGATGATGATGATGATGATGATGATGATGATGATGATGATGATGATGATGATGATGATGATGATGATGATGATGATGATGATGATGATGATGATGATGATGATGATGATGATGATGATGATGATGATGATGATGATGATGATGATGATGATGATGATGATGATGATGATGATGATGATGATGATGATGATGATGATGATGATGATGATGATGATGATGATGATGATGATGATGATGATGATGATGATGATGATGATGATGATGATGATGATGATGATGATGATGATGATGATGATGATGATGATGATGAGACTGAATTTATGAAATTACAGATTGTTTGATTGAATCATTTAATTTTCTTCAACAATGACATAATCATATGCTTCTTTTTTTTAAAAAAAAGAAAGATTGTCTCATAGTAAGGTTATTGATTCACTGTGAATAGTAATTACCTACTTCAATCGATTATGTAAGTTGAACATAATTAAAACAAATTAGTTGAAAATTTAAAAGAGAGAGAGAGAGTGTGTGGGGGGGGGTAGAGGGAGAGAGACAGAGAGTGAAAAAAAGAGAGAGAAACGATTTTGAAATTTCAATAAATCAAAAGTGTCATCTACAATGTGAATAAAGTTTGTATAAATTAAGATCAAATTAAATATTCATTATTCATAAAATGAGAACGGAAAAAAAGAATTACGTATATGTTGTAAGTGAATCGTGGATCCTTTAAAAATTATGATAGTGACGAACTGTTTATGAAAAAAAAATTTTTTTTCTTCTAAATTTTCAGTGGATAAACTATTTTTAAAAAAACTAAGTTGTCAGGCAGATTATATCCTATTGAATTCGATCAGCCAATTAAAATTACGTTGGGATCAGAACTCTATTGGAAATATTACTTCTACCGATAATGTTGAGATAAGTAGATGATCTCATTTAATAGTCAAGTTTTAGAAAGTTAACATGGACAAGAAAATAAACAAATAGTTGAAATTAAGTTGTTTTAAACACTAAAAGGAGTCAGATTTATTTCCTATTCTGTAAGGTTAAGCTGTACTATAGTGATACAAGAATTGATAGGAGACTAGTTTTGTGCCCATATGAATTGTTATTTCTGAAATGTTCATTTTAAGAAACTTGAAACTAAAGGAGTGATTTCTGTGATTTTGTGCAATGTCAAGAACATCTTGTTGAAGAAACTTTGATTACACGAGTGATTTGTAGCATAGATCTTGAGTAATATATTCCTTTTTGTTGAGTTTCAAGTTGACTTCTAATGTATGTGGTTCTGATTATTGAACAAACTATCACTTTGCAATGCTTCATTGTTTGCCTAAAGTGATTAGTACTACGGTGATTTATCCGCACTAGTGAAGTAATGTGTGGTGGAAATTTACATGTTAACTGACAGGTTGATTGGCTTAATATTATATATATGTAGGATAAAGTGACTTGTAGTTAGTATACATATGTAAAGGGCTTTATATAGTTGGAATGAAATTTGTAAAAGTAATGTTCTTATATTCAGAGCTGATCCTCTAAGTGAACGGAAAAATCCTCAAAAATGCTAGATATTGCACCTATGTTGGACATCAAAAAGATGAATATACTGGCACAATTTATTCCTGCATAGTTAGCTATCAAGCGTTCAAGGCACACAAAAATCTTAAAACATTGAGATAACATTGAAATTAGTTTGACGGGAATGATAAAGTTCAAGTTCAAGGTTATTCAAGAATTACGCGATGTAGCTTGAGGTCAATTGATTGCATAAAACTTTTGCATCTGGACTTGATTTTAATGAAAAGTCTGAAATATTATTCATAAGTTGTTATCCATATTTATATATTCATTTTACTGTTGTTTTGCTTGTAGAGTAGAAAAAGTACTTCCTGTTTAGCAGTAAACAAAACACTGTCTGAAATGTGTTAATTTATTTGGCATAAATTAAAGTATGAATTAAATACTAATGTACGTAAGAAAAAATGCAACTGAATCGATGAATTACAAAAATTGTGCATTTAATTAATACACCAATCAGTGGTCATAAACTTTCTTGTTAAAATGTTCATCTTGATGAAGTTTTGTTCTCTGAGCTAGATGGTTTGGTCGGGGAGCTTTCATTGTTATTATGAACGACATCATCAGCACAAACTTCAGACGCAAGAACACTTCACTCCTACCTGAAGTTTGTGCTGATGATGTCGTTCATAATAACAATGAAAGCTCCATGACCAAACCATCCAGCTCAGAGAACAAAACTGCATCAAAATCATCCACCTGAGATACAAATCTTCTCCACCATCTCAGTATGTTCATTATCATTTTGCACTAATTTGTCACTAAAAGACAACATGTGACATGCTTTCCTGATCCTAATGCTGGTCGAATTCAATCGACCGACTGTGGATATTTTTGATTCACATTGTAGGGCTTCTTTGCAGATAGTCTCTTGTTGTAAAGTTTAAAAATGAATGATTGAAAACATAACTCTCAATGTTATTTGGAAATCGGTGTTGAGTTCTTATGGCTTTCAGTAGGATTTAAGAGTAAAGATCCAGAAAAGTTACAAACAATTGTCGCGTCATATTCAGTAAACTGTTACATCCACTCCGTAATGATTGGTATAATACTGGAGATCTTAGCGATATGCTTTGATTAAGTTCTATGATGCACGAGGGCATAGAGTCAACACTGTTTTGTGTATGATACCTATGAAGTTTTTTTCCGTTACCTTCATGAATATTCACGTGACTTTATCCTATCAGTAAGTAAGCTTACTTTTATTTTTTCCCCATTAAACCTGAAAAAACACAACTTTGTAAGGTCCTTTTACTCTCGGAGGGTCCTCACAGTTCTTAAACAATAAAAAAAACACTCATTAAGGGGTATAACAAGAAATAGTCTTTCAATGATGATATCACTGACCGGTGAATGGATTCGCAGGTCTCCACAATCGCACATATATACTTTTGTCAACAAGATTACTGTATAAATTACTTATCAATAATTATTTATAAAACATGGTAACAATGAAGCAAAATAAACAAAAGCTGAAAAGTGTTATTCCAGTCATGATATTGAAATTATAGCAGTTAAGAACTTGAATATTTATAAAGGACATTACACAAACGAGATTAAAAGGATTGCTTTATATAATAATATTTCTTGAGAATGAATTGTAATCAGAAAGTGCATGAAAAGGGGAATAAATAAAAGGTAAAGAATTAATATAGTAGGAGAAAAAGTGATAATTCTGAAAAAATTAGTGGTTTCTATGTACATAGCTCTAGCTTCTCTAACTGTATGATTAAGGCTTTATCAGCTCAAATAAGACGGAAGTACACCATGTTTAGGTCTTTATTCATTATTTAGTAAACGTTGATTGATGAGCCTTCTTTAATCGAATAGTCTGTGTTGATATGATATGTGACTACTGAGTTTCTTATTGATCCACTACCAGCGCTTTCCAACTATCTAGTATTACATTCTTGAACACTCGTAGAAAGAATATGCTTTTAACTTTCGATGTTCCTAGCTTTATAGAAGCAAATGAATTAATTTATGCATATTGAAGTAGTCAGATGAGTGAACTTATCTTTAAGCTTATTTATAAACATAGTGTGGTGTTTGGATGAACTAATGATTCCTTTGTACTTGTTGAATGCTTGATTTCGAATTCCAAATACAGTACATTCGTTCGTGCTTATCCAGTACTTCTTGATCCGATTGCGTTATTTCTGGGATTTTTAATTTGTACTATAGTTCAAATACTCCTAATCATCATACATAGATTAACTTAAGAACATTAAGCTAAACATTGACGCGAGTTAAGGTCTTTTGAGGGGATTTAAAATCTCACTTTTTAATTAAATAGTTTCATTTTACATTAATATTAAACTACCGATGTCTATTGTACTTATCGATTAAGTTTTTTATATCAAAATTAATACCTTTTTTGGATTGTAGCTAGCACTGTATCCAAGATGCACGTTTGATTATATTCTAAGTCTGTCAGCTGAATATATATACAGTTCAATTTCGACGTCCACATCCACACATAGAATTGATTCCAGTCCCTATCACTTGGGACTTCAAGTTGTTATCTAGTATGCTATTATGTTCAGATGATCGCCAAGTTAGTTCAGCTAGTATAAAGATATTAAGCCAGATCCTGTTTTTTTTTATTAGTATGATGCAGTTGTACTTCAGTCTAAAATAAATTTTTATTGATTACACGAGTATCTACAACAACTTGAAGAGAACAGTAAAATTTGGCCAGCAGACAAATATATACTACAGATGATGAAAAGAACTAGGTAATAACGTACATTTTTGTTTATTAGACATACTGTTTATCCGATAAAATTCAGGTTGACAGAGCAAATGTCGACTCATTGTTCTACTGGTTGAAGGTAGAATGTTTGAACAACTCATTAATTAATTAGTACTTTTTTAATTACACTATTAAATTTCCAAAATTTATCGTTCGAAAATAAGAAAATTAATATGGTAACGAAAGTAATGTCACTGTTATTGAAGAAGAGCCTAGATCCAGCCGATCATGTTTCAAAAACTATCCGATTATAGAGATTAGAGAACTGTCTAACTATATATTACCTGACTGTTATACGTGTTTATTTGTACAACATTATTATGACTCTCAACAATTAACAATAAAGCATCTTTAATCGTGGATACAGACCTTCCCTCATGTATGTACCAAATCAATATTTGTGGAATAGAAGAAAGACGATTATTTATGTTTTCCGATAGTTCTACAAAAGGCTTAATGTTCCAAAGTACCACCAATTTACAATATCATGAATTAAAAATCAATCTTTTTTAAGGGAAAACATTTTCACTGTATTACCATCAACAGATTGTTAATATCACCTTTGAAATACATTTATGATGAACAAAATATAATAACAATAGGCAATCTCTAATTAAGTTTAGTAATAAACATTTAAATCATAATATCATTTAATATTTTTACATGGTATTTATTTAGATTTTTAACAAGTAAAAGTATCCAAGTTGAAATAGCTGCACTATGATTGGTTGAATTATTATATAAGCTGTTATCATGTGATCATAGCTAATTCTTATTGGCTAAGAATGAATAATAAATTTGAATATTAAGTTCAATTCTTACTATTTTAATATTGAAAAAAAAAACATATAGACTAATGAAACAGTAGAAAAGCAAATCAGAATCAGAATCATAAATGAATGATTTATAACAAATAGTTTATTTGAATTTGTTACCAAATATATATACATATGTGTAATGTATTATGATGAAAATGGTCATTACTAATAATGATATGCTTATTTACAAAATTTACTGATTATTTGTTACTACAAACGTTATTAATTTAAAACAAGATACTACAAACTACAAATTGTGTTTCTTTTTTGTTTCTTACAAATATATTCAAGATAAGGAAAAAAAGTATATATATATATATAATAAAATCAATAATTAGAAAGATTACAGAATGAAATTGAAAAGTCCTTCAACAAGTTACATCTCTACTGATCCAGTAGTAATAGAGACATTGAAAAAAGCACAAGAATTACATTTGGACATGAATTCAAAAAAACATAATAGTCATTCAAATAAATTATCCCTTTTCATACATAAACATTCTAGTAATAAACCATCATCAACAAGAAAATATTCTTTGTCAATACCATCAAAGTTAAGTGATACAACAAGTCAAAATATTTCGAAAAATTTGGATACATCACAAAATCATCAACAAGTAGGCGGTTTTTTATATATACATATTATGTCTTTTATATCCTTTCTTTCACCTTCCGCCTAGCAAATTATTATTTTTATTTATTAACGTTTTGAAAGGGTTTATTTATTTATTTATTTATTTGACAGGGTGAATTTTGATTAAATTTAAATGTTTCATATTATG